GGTACCTATTTACTGCTAGGTAATTGTAGCATCAGGGTGAAAGGAACTGCGCCCATTTTTTTGTTTCTGCCATCACCTGGGGATCGAACCCGGACCCTAGGATTACGAGTCCAGAGCGCTGTCCATTCAGCTATCAGGCCCCTAACTCGTGTGCACAAACTGTGTGTGTGTGTGCGTGCGTGCGTGCGTGTATGTGTGCGTGAGTGTGACGCAAGATAATGCACAAGGGCAGACGAGGAGCCCCACTCACCCGCCCGGCTGGTGTCAACAGCCCATCTGACGTAAAACTGTTCGGCGGATGTGTTGGCAGCGAGCACAGAGCCAGTAATGGCCATTACCACGGCGATGGGCGCTTCCACTTTAAACTGCATTGGCAGAGTTACGGTACAGGCCACCACTGGTGCACGGTGCACGGTGTCACGGTACAGGCCACCACTGGTTCTCTGTGTCACGGTACAGACCACCACTGGTTTCACGATACGTGGAGTCTCGGTACCTACTCAAAATCTTCACTCAATATCCCCTTTCTCTTACTTCCACTAGCTACCCCTCGCCCACATGGCCCTTCTGCCTCTTCCAATACAAGCCACACACTATCCATCCTGCTCCACAACGCCCCAGACAGTCTCCATAAATTTGTCCTGAGCCATACATCCCTTAATTAGGATAAAGGGATGTATGGCTCAGACATCCCTTTATCCTAATTTTTCCTATAATACTCAAACCCTCTAGTGGACAACCCAACCCATCACCGGATCATACCTGTACCTCTCTCGAGAGTGAGGCCGGAGCCTACATATGATAGCAGGTGGATTAGATATACCTAAATCCTCGCAAATTTTCGCTAATGTTGAATTTTGTTAATGTTTTCGTTTATCTTTCTCTTTCGGAATCTTTCTCCGAGGAAGGCGTAATGGGCGGAAAACGCGTTCAGCATTCTCTGAAAACCACATTGAAAATGTGTTTTTTCCGCTATTCTATCTATCTATCTCTCTCTCTGCTCTCTCTCTCTCTCTCTCTCTCTCTCTCTCTCTCTCTCTCTCCTCTCTCTCTCTCTCTCTCTCTCTCTCTCTTCTCTCTCTCTCTCTCTCTCTCTCTCTCCTCTCTCTCTCTCTCTCTCCTCTCTCTCCTCTCTCTCTCTCTCTCTCTCTCTCTCTCTCTCTCTCTCTCTCTCTCTCTCTCCCTCTTCTCTCTCCTCTCTCTCTCTCTCTCTCTCTCCTCTCTCTCTCTCTCTCTCCCTCCTCTCTCTCTCCTCTCTCTCTCTCTCTCTCTCTCTCTCTCTCTCTCTCTCTCTCCTCTCTCTCTCTCTCCTCTCTCTCTCTCTCTCTCTCTCTCTCTCTCTCTCTCTCTCTCTATCTCTCTCTCTCTCTCTCTCTCTCTCTCTCTCTCTCTCTCTCTCTCTCTCTCTCTCCTCTCTCTCTCTCTCTCTCTCTCTCTCTCTCTCTCTCTCTCTCTCTCTCTCTCTCTCTCTCTCTATATATATATTATATATATATAACAATACTCTCCAAGGTCTTTTCTCTAATCATTACAGGGAATCTGATTTCCCGCCCTTTGCCGTCTGTAATTACATACAGTCTGTAAAGTAATATCCTATAAAGTTTGTGTACTAATCTCTTATGAGTACTGTGTAAAAGACTTTTAGTAGCATATAAATATGCAATCTACCCAAGCTTCTTTGTCCTGCCTTATTTTTGTTACTTTTTCATAGTACTTCATTAGGTCCATTAGTGATGATTCCCCGTCCCTAAACCCAAGTGAATGTTTGCTGACATACGTAATTTTCCATTTGTATTTCGATCTTCTATTTTTGTTGTTGAAGATTCGCTACCTGGAACAAAGTTCCAAGTAGCACAGGCTATGGTGAGCCCGTCGGTACTTTTTACCCGATCTTCTAGTTCCTCAAACTTCCACTTTCCTTTTACTATTAGTGCCGCTCCCTCTCCGTGACTGTTTCCTTCCTTTCCTTATTACTTGGTATCCTCTATGGAAATATTGTCAGAGATCATATAATTTATTATATTTTCCACTATTGCAATTATATCAGGTTCTTTTTCATCAACTCATTCTTTTATTTCCTTGGCTTTGTTTGTGACACCATCAGCATTGGTATGCAATACTTTGAGGCTTTTCTTGGACACTTTGTTTCCAGAATTCTTAAGAGTACTTCCATGGATTTGTTGCTATTGGTGTAGATTACAAGTGAAAGAGGGATACATTACAATCCGTGATGAGTGGTTGTGAGGTAGGAAATATTTAGTAGTAAGTAAGAAAGAGAGAGAGGTTGAGAGGCAGGTATGGGGCTGTGAGGCATTGATGGGTTGAGAGGCAGAGAGGGTCTGAGAGGGGTGCGTGCTTGTGGGGTTGTGTAATATATGAATAAGTGACAACACGGTGGCTAGAAGCCGTAAAGGTCAAGACTAACGCGTTGTTCACTTGGGCGCGGGACCTCGGTAATGTCTGGCGGCCTCTTTGTATAAATGGAAGGATTTATTTAGTAGGGGTAAGTTTCGAATCGTAGTTAGAGCGTAATAGTTTCAGCAGAACGTGAGGGAGTTTCACCAGAGCGTGAGGGAGTTTCACCAGAACGCGAGGGAGTTTCACCAGAACGCGAGGGAGTTTCACCAGAACGCGAGGGAGTTTCACCAGAAAGCGAGGGAGTTTCACCAGAACGCGAGGGAGTTTCACCAGAACGCGAGGGAGTTTCACCAGAACGCGAGGGAGTTTCACCAGAACGTGAGGGAGTTTCACCAGAACGCGAGGGAGTTTCACCAGAACGTGAGGGAGTTTCACCAGAGCGTGAGGGAGTTTCACCAGAACGTGAGGGAGTTTCACCAGAGCTTGAGGGAGTTTCACCAGAGCTTGAGGGAGTTTCACCAGAACGTGAGGGAGTTTCACCAGAGCTTGAGGGAGTTTCACCAGAACGTGAGGGAGTTTCACCAGAACGTGAGGGAGTTTCACCAGAGCTTGAGGGAGTTTCACCAGAGCTTGAGGGAGTTTCACCAGAACGTGAGGGAGTTTCACCAGAACGTGAGGAAGTTTCACCAGTCCTGGTAACTTCTCTTATTATAAAAAATATCTGTCCACCACCTGGTCCGTTTCTGCCATCATTGGCTCCTCCTGCCTACATCCTGGGCTTCTGCAGGCCTCCTGATGGCTTCCTGCATACCTCCTGCCCATTTGGTGTCCCCGGCCTCCTGGAGGCCGCTCCATCTCCTTCCCAACCAACTCTTGGCTGTTTCCGAGAAAAAAGAATGTTTTATTTAGCTGTTTCAGGAAGTTTTCAACTACTGTGTGTGGCGCGATGTTTCCGACTTACCAAGGCTGTTTCCCAGAATATCCGGCCTCATTTGGTTATTTGGGAGAATTCCTGCTTATTTTACACCGACGGCGGAAGCCGGCATTGACTCAGTAAATCCCCAGCGGCTGTATTTATTGATCCAATATCCTGGAGCAGCAGACTCGCCCGCCCGTGAGAAAACAATAGCCACCACCACCACACACTTTTGGCCTAAAATTAATATTGAAGCCTATGTAATATGGATAATTGTATCATGAATTCTGTATTAACCTTGTCTAGCGGTGAGTTGACTCATCAGGGTCCGCTGCTCTGATGAGTTAATTCATAAAAGGGCCAACTAATTTGGTGATAATCTGACTCGCCCAAGTGCCCCTGCCCAGAGAATCATTGGACTCCATAGTATATTAGAGTGGGCCCGCTTGGAATATATATATAGAGAGAGGATATCGCACTGGTGCCTTAATGTCCGAGGCCTTCGTGCGTCGTGGGGAGGAACTGGCACTGAAAGTCCATGATGTTCATTAGTTGTTACATTTCCGAACTGTGAACATTTGTGTTGGCGTGGAGAGCGACTCGAGTCTCCAGGAAATATCTAAGCTACGAGATGTTTCACGTTTGAATGAATTCCTAGCGATAAAATCCCCTTCCCCCCATTCTGGACGTTTTTATTGAGGATATCCGTCACACCCTCGCGGACCGCCACCTTATCATAGTGGGAGATTTCAGGTTCAGACGACCCGAAGGAAAGTTGAGTCTGGCTTTTGAAGGTCCTCTTCTAGCCAGAGGATAGTAGACAGACTAAGAGTGCTCCCTGACTGTAAACCTGCCGCAAGGGTAAAATGAATGATTTTATACTACTTCGTAGAAAGATTTGATCAATATTTCAATGTCAATCAGAATTTCGCCACAATGGAATACATGGAACGTGAGACAATGACTAAATTAAAAATTAGAATGATCATCGACTAAAAGCTTAGTGTAATTATGGCCATAAATGGACAAAGGAACTGCTTGTCATGGATCCTCTTGCACCAAGATTGCAATAGGATCAACCAGCTACTGTAAAACTGCCTGGAAGAGCTATATTGAGCCTGTGACTGGGACAAATATTAAATATTTTGTGGGAACACAGCAATATTTGCCTAATAAATTGAAGATAAGATATTAAAGGATATACACTTGTGCCGGCTATCCATGAGATCTTTATCGACTTGCACGACCCTTCACCTTCTAGTTACAGACATGAACTCTTCACTTGACCTTGACGCCTCCACAGTGAGAACTCTACAGTATTGCAGTACTGCCTCTAGAGAAATGCCTCGATAGTGATGCTTCCACAGAAATGTCTCGCCTCCATAGTGATGCTTTCACTTGGAGACCTCTACACTGATGCCTCCTCTGAGATGCGTCCACTGTAATGCCTCCTGCGTGATGTCAACACAATGGTTCCTCCGTAGCGATGCCTCCAAACTGATGCTTTCATGATGATGCCTCCACAGTGAGTGCCACTGCCGCAGTCATTCAACTAGGATTGAGTGTCACTTTCCATTTCCACAGACTTATCAAGATATGAGTGCCACGTGAGCCTCTGTGGTGAGGTGCAAGTGCCTCACCAGAGGCACTAGTTCAGAGGGCTCTTGACTGATCTTACCCGACAATATACAACTAGAGCACTTTAGCTCTCGTGGAGGTGTAGTTCTTATGGGAGAAGAGGTAGAGGTGCAGCTCCCATGGGAGAGGAGAGGTAGAGGTGCAGCTCCCATGGGAGAGGAGAGGTAGAGGTGCAGCTCCCATGGGAGAGGAGAGGTAGAGGTGCAGCTCCCATGGGAGAGGTAGAGGTGCAGCTCCCATGGGAGAGGAGAGGTAGAGGTGCAGCTCCCATGGGAGAGGAGGTAGAGGTGCAGCTCCATAGAGGTAGAGGGCAGCTCCCATGGGAGAGGAGAGGTAGAGGTGCAGCTCCCATGGGAGAGGGTAGAGGTGCAGCTCCCATGGAGAGGTAGAGGTAAGGTGCAGCTCCCATGGGAGGAGAGAGGTAGAGGTGCAGCTCCCATGGGAGAGGTAGAGGTGCAGCTCCCATGGGAGAGGAGTAGGTAGAGGTGCGCTCCATGGTAGAGGAGAGGTAGAGGTGCAGCTCCCATGGGAGAGGAGAGGTAGAGGTGCAGCTCCCATGGGAGAGGAGAGGTAGAGGTGCAGCTCCCATGGGAGAGGAGAGGTAGAGGTGCAGTTCCCATGGGAGAGGAGAGGTAGAGGTGCAGCTCACATGGGAGAGGAGAGGTAGAGGCGCAGCTCTCATGGGAGAGGAGAGGTAGAGGTGCAGCTCCCATGGGAGAGGAGAGGTAGAGGTGCAGCTCCCATGGGAGAGGTAGAGGTGCAGCTCCCATGGGAGAGGAGGTAGAGGTGCAGCTCCCATGGGAGAGGAGAGGTAGAGGTGCAGCTCCCATGGGAGAGGAGAGGTAGAGGTGCAGCTCCCATGGGAGAGGATAGAGGTGCAGCTCCCATGGGAGAGGAGATAGAGGTGCAGCTCCCATGGGAGAGGAGATAGAGGTAGAGCGCAGCTCCCATGGGAGAGGAGATAGAGGTGCAGCTCCCATGGGAGAGGAGATAGAGGTGCAGCTCCCATGGGAGAGGAGATAGAGGTGCAGCTCCCATGGGAGAGGAGAGGTAGAGGTGCAGGGAGAGGAGAGGTAGAGGTGCAGCTCCCATGGGAGAGGAGAGGTAGAGGTGCAGCTCCCATGGGAGAGGAGGTAGAGGTGCAGCTCCCATGGGAGAGGAGAGGTAGAGGCGCAGCTCCCATGGAAGAGGAGAGGTAGAGGTGCAGCTCCCATGGGAGAGGAGAGGTAGAGGCGCAGCTCCCATGGGAGAGGAGAGTATTATATACATAATAACTCAGTGTGGAACTCGAGGATCGATGCCTCACCCCCGCCAAACTTTGCGCTCCTCCGAGCGTGAAGTTTGTCTCCAGATAAGTCATTATTTTCACCGGCATGTTCCCACCGTGCTGGTGCTGGGGAGGGAGGGAGGGGGAGGGGTAATGGTGGTGGGGGGAAGGAAGGGGGGGATAGTGGTGGTTATGGACACAGGAGGTTGGGGCAAACCTAGCTTATTACCCCCCCCCTCCCCCCACAAGAAACAAAACTACGTGCAGGGGAAAATAAGGAGTTAAGAAGAGCTTCACAACCTCTCGCCACCGTATGACCAGACAATCCAGGAGCTCCACGAGCCCTGACAGGGATAATGTAAATGTAAATGTTAGACGTTTACAGAAAATGTTTATGTAAATGTTAGAAAGGCTAATGTTAGAAGTTTTAATGTTAGAAGGACTACTCCAGGCTTTGACGCCCCGCTCCCACAGCTGGTGGCCCAAACGCTTCCATCTACTCGATGGAAAATTAATATTTGTAACTTAGAAGAATGTTACATTTAAATTTAAGTAAGGTGGGTTAACTAAGCTTGGATATGTTACACCTAACTTTGTGAAAGTTAGGCTTAAATTTGAGTAAGTTGTATCTAAGACTGATTCAGTTATACTAAAGTTTGAGTAAGTTGCATCTAAGTCAATGTAAGTTAGCCCTCACTTTAAGGTATGTTCACTGCTGGTTCGTCTTGGGTGAGGTCTCCGGTGCTATAGACGAGGTGGGAGGGTGGGAAGAAGGGGGTGTCAAGGAGCTTAGAGTCGTAGAGGGGAGACAAAGTTGTTTAGCTGTTAACGGGAGGGTTAATGACCTGGCTGAGGTGACAATGGGCGTCGTGAGAAATGTTTCAGCCGTGCTTGGCATTCTGGACCAGGTACTGGACCCTGCTGGACCAGGTACTGGACCCTGCTGGACCAGGTACTGGACCCTGCTGGACCAGGTACTGGAGCCTGCTGGACCAGTACTGGACCCTGCTGGACCAGGTACTGGACCCTGCTGGACCAGGTACTGGACCCTGCTGGACCAGGTACTGGACCCTGCTGGAGCATGTAATCGAAGCTGTGTAGCTGGGAGTTCGTAGTCTCGAGTGCGTAGCCTCGAGTGCGTAGCCGTAGCCTTGGGTTGAACACACTTGCTTCATGAATTGCATGCACCTATCGCCTTCAAAAGGATCCATAGGCACACATGTCAGTCTTTGTTACTCACTACTAGACTTTACAACCTGTGGTGGAGGCAAGTCTGGGGCCCACTTAAGTAACCTCTTAAGTACCTGTGAGAGCGGGTGATCCACCTGGTAATCCACCTGATGATCCACCTGGTGAGGAGGGGGGGTAAGGGGGGAGCTAGCCGGGCCGACAGGCTAAGAATGTCACATTGTCAGGTTCTTAATACCCATTGTGTGTCTAATGGGATTTTCCTGCTACACCCAACTGCCTCGTCCATTCATAATTTTCCTCGCCCCCATAATATTAAACTTTTACCATTCTGCTTGGTAATAGCTAGTTGTTCTGTCTGGTAATAGTTGGTTGTTCTGCCTGGTAATAGTTGGTTGTTCTGCCTGGTAATAGTAGTTGGTTGTTCTGCCTGGTAATAGTTGGTTGTTGTTCTGCCTGGTAATAGTTGGTTGTTCTCTGGTAATAGTTGGTGTTCTGCCTGGTATAGTTGGTGTTCTGCCTGGTAATAGTTGGTTGTTCTTGGTATAGTTGGTTCTGCCTGGTAATAGTTGGTTGTTCTGCCTGGTAATAGTTGGTTGTTCTGCCTGGTAATAGTTGGTTGTTCTGCCTGGTAATAGTTGGTTGTTCTGCCTGGTAATAGTTGGTTGTTCTGCCTGGTAATAGTTGGTTGTTCTGACTGGTAATAGTTGGTTGTTCTGCCTGGTAATAGTTGGTTGTTCTGCCTGGTAATAGTTGGTTGTTCTGCCTGGTAATAGTTGGTTGTTCTGCCTGGTAATAGTTGGTTGTTCTGCCTGGTAATAGTTGGTTGTTCTGCCTGGTAATAGTTGGTTGTTCTGCCTGGTAATAGTTGGTTGTTCTGAGTGGTAATAGTTGGTTGTTCTGCCTGGTAATAGTTGGTTGTTTCTGCCTGGTAATAGTTGGTTGTTCTGCCTGGTAATAGTTGGTTGTTCTGCCTGGTAATAGTTGGTTGTTCTGCCTGGTAATAGTTGGTTGTTCTGCCTGGTAATTGCTAGTTGTTCAGCCAGGTAATAGCTGGTTGTTCTGCATAATAACTTAGTTAATTAAATTATTTAAATCATTATATTAGATTCAAATTCAAATTCCTATGACTACATATACAAAGAACATAGGAGTAATGTTCAACTGTGGGGGACAGGAGCTACACATACATAATGTACACATGCAATGTGTATGTGTACACATACATAATGTACACATTCAATGTGTATGTGTACTCATTGCAAAACTTTAACTCATTTAGAAAAATAAAATTATTTAGAGGCGTGAAGGGTAAACTCTTAAATACTAAAAAGAGAAGTAATACTTCTCTTTTTAATACTAAGAGTTTTCTGCTCAGCAAAACTCTCAACACTAGTACTAAAAGAGAGAGTCCAAGAGC